CTTACCTAACTCATCTCTCAAAACTGGTGATGTTCCGGTTCCTATTTCAGATTTACGGTATATAAAATTTTGAATCTTGCCAAATCTTTCTTCAGTTTGGTGGCCTGTTTCAGAAGCCAAGGCTGTCAGTTATATATCAAAAGGTATTTATAATCTGCTAATTATTCGGTTAGCCTTTGAATTATTATAATTATTCTCAAGAGCTATGGACCCCAACCTGAATAGTTACAATCTTAACAGTGAAGTGGTATATTGGACACCATCCTTAAATGCACAGTCTTATCAGAGAAGACATTTCTAGGATATAGTTATAGAAAGAAGCAACTACAAATTTGGTCCACATATAAGAAACAAATATTTGAATTAGGAAAATCAGAAGTATTTGGCACCGAAAGGGGTGAGATGATGAACAGAGGATTTAGCTCAGTACTGCTTCTTAAACTGCAAAACAAAAGAAAAACAAAACCTGACAGCAGTCAGCCACTTAAAATTTGTGTAAAAGAGATTTGACTCAATAAATCCAAAGACACAGAAGCTGCCAATTTATAAACCAATGACTTTTATAAGATATTTTGTGTATGTGGAACATCAATTGAACATTTTTATCACTTTTTTTTCCTTAGGAAAAAAGTAAACTTTTTATTATCCTCAAACCAGATTAAGACAATTAAAATGATCGATCAGGTATAATCAACAGCACATGGAATAATAAGTATCAGTAGATCAGATATCAATTTTTTTCAAATTAATAAAGCAGCATATATGTACACCCTTCCCTATGTTCTCATAGCTGTGAGAAGAAGAAATATTCAAGGTTTTAATATGAAAAGAAAGAATTAGTGTGATAAATAAATAAACCATTATGACAAAAGTTTGCTGTTCAATACTAATAGAAATATAGTTCAATTAGAGTAAGAATATAATATATTTTATGCAGTAAAGGGATTACAAATCCATTTTTATAGATCATCTGCTTTGTTCATAATTGCTGATAGTTACAAAATGTTTTGAAAATAAGCTACTTGACTTCCCATTGATCCATGGGGATTTAATTAATTAGGAATAATTATTCAAATGGGCTATTATCAATGATTCACTTCTATTTAAGCACAAAGCAGAACTTAAGTCATGATAGTATTCATTTATTATTGCTTGATAGAATAGATACATTAAAATGATTAATTTTCTAAAACTCGATTTTGTTTTAAATGCTCCAAATTCCTTTGTCTATTCCTAAGTGCCAAACCTGCCAGAAAGTTATCTCTTTATATATAAAATCTAGAATGAGGTAAAATCAAACACTACAAGCAAAAACATTGGTGTAATGAGTTGAAATAGCATAATGCTTTTCAGTTAAGGCAAGTATATTATTAGAAACTCAAATATTAAATGGATATTAAACAAGACAATTAATATGTTTTAAATGCACAGGAAAATATCATAGAAAGTTACAAATGTTTTATAGGATTATAACATGATTATTACTGGAAAATCAACCCTTGAGCAATATACAGGGCGGGCATAACCTTTTCCTAGGGGGTCACAGCAACACTTGTAATAACAACACAAATAATTCATACACCATTCGAAAGCCCATCAAAAACTGAGTTTATTG